TTTTTTTTTTGGCTGAGTTTGCTGCCAGCCCCCCCCATCCCGTCCCAGTGGGCAGACTTTTTCTCCTGCCTTTTCTTGCATGGCCTCCCGATTTTTGCTGACTTTGCTGCCAGCCTCCCCCCCCATCCCAGTGGGCAGACTTTTCCTCCTGCCTTTTCTTGCACGGCCTCCCAATTGTTACCCCCCAGGCAGCGCCCGTGGCAGCCTAGGATGTGCGCCGGCCCCGTGGGGCTACTTCAGGGTGGCGCTGAAGGCCGTTTCTTGGGGCCACCTAGGCCTGGCAGCCAAACACACGCTTCGCTTGAGCCACTTATTAAAATTCACCCTGACTGAAAAAAAAAAAGGAAAAGAAGACGGAAAAGAAAGAAAAGCCGAGAGAGAGAGAGAGAGAGAGAGAGAGAGAAAGCTGCTCCATTTAGATGCAGTTGTGATTGTGAATATGTTTCTCCTTAAGAAAGAGTCATAATTTAAAAACCCGAAACAAACAAACCAAAAACGCCCCTCAGGGCATCTGCAGCAAAAAGCTTCGTCTCTGACAATATTTTTTGCACCCTCGTCTGCAGGGAAAGTAACCACAAGCAGGCCCCCCCCCTGCTGCCGGGGGCCCCGGGGAGGCACGGGCTGGCCCGTGGCCAGGGCTTAATATGACCCAGGACGGGCCAACACAGAACTCCCTATCTTGCTTGCGGTGTCCCTCCCGAGCCCTGCGCAGCCTCTGGTTGCTGCTATTTCGCCACCCGTTAACCCCTTCGTGTTCTGCCGTCTGGGCCAGAGAGCAGAACCCCTCCTTGGCAGACAGGAATCCTCCGTTATTTCCAGTTTAGCACTTAAGCACTGAGGGCTGCCTGTCTCCTTGGGCTGCCTGGCCGGGTGTGTAGCGGCTGTCGCTTCTCTTTGCTGGAGTCCTTCAGCGATCTGTCTTCTATCTTTCTGTAGCCACGGGCAGGCACGGTCAAAGGGCTCCTTGTTTTGCAGCAAAGTGGGACACCCATGAAACGTCCCTTGCTAGAATGGTATAAAAGCGAAACAAAGCAAAAACACTCCCCCCCCCGCCCTTCTGCCTACGATATATATATATATATGAACACGAGCCGCTGCCGGAGTCTTTGGTGGAGTGGGCCACTCAGTATCCTGGGGCACCGTAAGGCGAGGGGGTCCCCCCGTCTTGCCAAGAGAGTGCCCTAGGAAGGTTTGACTTCCCTTTGACACAATGCTTTCCTCTGAGGAAGAATGAGCCGCCTCCCAGGAATCCTCCATCCTCTGGCCAAAGAGCAAGCCCAGAATATACTGCTCATCAGTCATGCAGTCCTAGAGCAGGAGAAGTATTCTTTTATGATAAATATTACTCAGGCTATTATTAGATAAGCCAAACTGTTGACTTCAAATATTCATAATATTAAAATAGGGACAAGAGTGAAGAAAAACAAGAGAAGCCTTTTAGCCTTTGATTTAAAAATTTTACCCACAAATACAGCCGGCTGGAGAGCTCAGCAAGTTACGTCTCTGGTTGCGCACCCAGAGGTTGGGAGTTTGATTCCCCGCTTGGGCCTCTGGGGAGAAGAACCAGCCTGGGTGGCCTTGGGCCGGCTGCACCATCTCAGGGCGCCCCTAGAGGAAGAGAATGGTAGCACACTTTCTGAGTTCTCTCTACCTAGGAAAACCTTGGAAAGGGTCCCCATAATAAGCCAAAATTGACTTGATGACACCTGGTTATTATAACCATTGCTATTATCAGTTAGAGACCAAATTGCAAACATTCCAGCAAAGAGAATTTTGCATCAGTTACCTGCAAATACACTTGTACCAGAGTAAAAACACGTCAAAAAAAAATTCTGTGCAAAGTATAGTGTCTCCTCACTCTTTCTAGTCATCCCGTTTCCTTTGAGTGAAAAGAAGCTTGCATTTCTGATGCTCCTAACAGAAAGCAGCTTCTTGGGTTGGTGTGGTTTAAGGAAATGCGTTGTGTTTTAAGGCGTGTATACGTCCTGCTTGTGGTTGCAGCTTTTGGCAAAATCCCGGGGTCTCGACTGGAAAGAGGCAGAAAAGCTGCAGGAGGTGCAGCTCCGTTTGAAGCTGAGCTTGGCGGAGATGCTGGAGGTGCTCGAGGAGGTGCTTCACCCGGAGCCTTATAGCCTAGAAGAAATTGGGCAAAAGCTGGGAATGAGTCCCAAGCAGCTTCGCACCGAGGTCCTCAGCCAGAACACTCAAGACGGTGAGTCCCTGCCGAAGAGATGGCCGGGGGGGGGCAGGGTTAGTTTGGGTAAAAAAGATGTCAATAGTAGAGGAAGGATGGAGACATTTCAGGTCGGCCCACTCTTGAACTCCTTGTGGAGCGACTCAATAAACCAGTATATATTGAAGGGGAAATGTGTAGAGTATTAAGTGGATCTGAAAGCAACCTTTTATTAATTCATCAATCGACGGGCTTGATTAGATGGTCCTTGGTTTAAATGCATGCTGCCCTCTGGGAGCGAGCAGCCTCTGATCCAAAATTTGGCTTTGGCATAACCATGAGTTAGCCCACTAACCTGTGCCCATGTCCGGCTATCCTCCTTCTCCTAGAACATGCTCCCAGGTCCGTATTTCTCTGGGGCTTCAGCTACATCCGTCCATGAATGTGCTTGTTCTTGGTTGCCTTTCTGCTGAGCGGAGTTGCTGACCGCACTGTGAGTGAGCAACAGAGCCTGAAAGAAGTTCTCCCAGGAAGAACCTTTGGGCCAGTTACCCTGTAGCCTGCCTTATCAATCTCATTGCACTCTATAAAACAACTGAAACATCTTACACACAGGGGTTTTCTATGTAGAGATGCACATGTGGGTGCCAATCTGGCCACATGCGTTTTTCTGTCCTCCTTGCATGCTTGTGAGCGCACGTGGAAGCAGGTATTGCCCACAGCTCCACAGAACATGAAAGAACATTGTGAATCATTGTTCATTTACAGCCTACAGATGCATTTCCTACAAATTCCAATAGGAAGAGGGGAAAACAGTCAGATTTGCAAAGCAATCCTGAGATAAAGTTTGGTTAAAACATCTCGCCCTGAGTGTTTGGGATACAGCAGGAAATAACAAAGTCAACACTTAAAACTGCTTCGGCTGACTTTAAAGGACGATGGGCAAAATATTTCTATTCCTAACATGGTAGAAATGTGATCAAAGCAACTTCAAGCTTGCATGCCTCAGAAAACTAAGGGGAAGAACACTTCGGCTTGTTCTATAAAACATCTCGCATGTGTTCTGAATTCTTTCCTTTGAAATACATAATGACTATTTTGATCTTGATCATTGTTTTCTTTTCTTTTGGGTAACGTTTTTATGGAGGAAGTGAATTTTAATACACTCTCATTTGCTTGCCGTATAGCCCTAAATATTTCTGACCATTATTAAATCAGCCAGCTATATACAGTCATGGCTGTCGATATAGACATGGGATGTTTTGGGGGGTCACTGGCTGTGTGTTTACTTCAAAGTTCGGTATGTTTTCATCCTAGATTTAGGTCATGAAAACAAAGGAAGCTTAGGAAATGGTCCCCGCCTGCTTCATGTGGACCTCATCAGGTGTGAGCCAAGTTCAGAGCTCAATGCAGCTGAGATAAGAATCTCGCCCTTGGGATATGGGTCTTGATTTCCTTTTCCGACCTCTCCGTTTTCCACATGGGAGCACAACCCTTTCCACAGATTCACTGCAAGCTGCCAGAATTTCCAGTCCTTGCCTCTCCCCCATTGACTGCTACTCAACCTGGCTCCATGCTTCGAAAGTAAGGGTCATAACTAGTAAACATTCTCCGACGCTCCTGTTGGGTTTTTTCGGCTCAGTTATTTCAATAACTTGGTTGGCTTTAGGTAGGGTGTACATGGACTTACTTAGGAGTACTCTCTGTGGCTGCAACACAGTGTGTTGGGCCAGCCTGGAAAACCAGTATATGGGTGGAAGGTTCCATTCAGAGTCTCTTGGGCTGAGGATCTGTTGTTTTTTCTGGGAGCCAGCCCCAAGCTAGCAGCTGCAGTGGAGCTGGAAAGGTCTGCTGCCTTCC